AACATGTATGTAGGAGTCTTCTGTACTGGATCTGTTTGTTTGATGTGTATTATTTGGTCTAACCAAAAGGAAAAATAAAACAAACAAAACCCAATATTTTTGTCCGACTCTAATCTATGAATTTGATGTCTCACTTGTTTTAATGCTCCTGCCTCGGTGCCTGAGTGTTAACATGAGTATTCTTTGCGTTTTGACCCTGAAAATGAAGATGTATTCAGAGTATGAAGCTGAATTGGAGCACAGAGTAGAGTGTTGCTTGAGAAAGAACAGATAGACTGGAAAGCAGATGAAAGAATACTTGTTCTGAAGTGACATTTAAAACCTGGAATTATTACTGCAAATTCTAGTGTGGTTTAGAAATGGCCGTGATAGGAAATAATTAACCTTCTGCTTCAATGAGCCCTTCATAATTCTTCAAATTCCCTTTATTTTTAAATATTTTGCCTGGCAATGATGCTTAAAGTGAGGCCCCACAGAAAGATAGCCAGTTATCTCACTCTTATTAAAATTGAAGGTTAAATTTGGCAGTTGGAAGAGCAAGCTTGCCTCATGTAGTTAAGCTTAACCTCTGAGTATGGCCTATAGACTGGAATGGATATTATGAAGAAAACAAGCAGGAAATAACATTCCCAGATCCAACTACAAGTAAGAAGATACCATCCTTTCTGCCGCCTGTTTTAAATATTTTTTTTAGGTAGGGCTGTGTTGTGGCTCTTAGACTTTCTAATCTACTGCAAAACAGCTATGGGGGGGTGGTGTTTCTTCTGCAAACTAACAACAGTTCTGTCCTTTCTAAAACTAATTTTTTATTTTTAAATAAACACTTATTCCTTCCCTGTACCTGTGTTTGTCTGTGACTCTTCTGGAGCTGTGTAGCTGTCTCACTATTCTTGTTCAGAAGCTTAGTGGAAGATGGGCCCTTGAAAATTAACAAGGGATCTAAACTTGACCAGCATCTGCTTTGGATTTAGTTGTGAGGACTGCCAGCACAGACAAGTGAGAAAATCCTGCAGCTTGGGAGAATTTCAGATCAGTGCAGGCATTGCTAATTAAATATTCTTCCTTAAACTGAGGCTACATGAGGGTAGACAGTTGAGCAGTACAGCTCTCCATACGGTGTTTCCATCATACTTTCTTTAGATATTTAAACTGACAGAGAAGTTCTGTGAGCAAAAGGAAACCGCTTGATGTACAGTGGACAGTAATGGATGCCTATAGCAGAAGCAATGGAAATACAGTATTTACATAGACTCTGTGATATTGCTTATCTTTGTGTAGCATTTAAAATCTCTGTTGATGTGCTACCTATGCAGCAATTATGAGACGTTTAAAACACAGTAATAAAAACTTGTTCTGAAAGCTGGGTTCTCCACAGACAATTCCTGAGTAATTGGGCACAGGCATTTAGACCAAAACAAGAAAACAAGCTGTGGAAGTGTGACTTTTAACTCTTAGTAAAGAAACGCTAGGTGTGCTTAATGAGCTGTAATTGCAGTCAGTGAATCATGTAAATAGGGGCTTATAAGCAAAGCAGTATCTTGTTGAACATCATTGCAAAGATCTGAGTTCCTTGCTCTCTGAGCATAAAAACAATGCGCTTGTTTTCACATACACAGTCATCACATAACTGTTACAGTCAGCCTGATGGCAAGCCTGCTTACAGCATGGCTTGGACTTCAACTTTAGGCTAAGGTACCTTTTCTTGAAATGTGCACAATACTCACAGCTATTAAGCATGTGAAGTGGCAATTCATGTATTTCCTGTATTTTTTGATCATCTTTCCTTTCTGCTATTTATCGATTTTTTTTCTTGGTGAAGAAAACAACAGCATGTATGCATGTGCTTTTGTGCTCCTTGTGGAATGAAAAGGTGTTTCTTCATTAATCACAGGAAGTAGCAGCTCCGATCCTCAGTGTATTGGTGCTTATCAAAAGCCCTTGCTCTTGTACAGTGAGCTGAGAATCCAACTGAATCTGGTTTGTTTTTTTGTTTACTGTGCAGATCAAGGATACATAAATGCAGTTCTGCACAAGCTCTTTTGATGTTTAAGCTGTGCCATCTACATCCATGGGGAGGTAACACTATTAACAGCTGCAGCTAATGTGGTCTGCCTGTTCTCTGCTTAGTACTGCCTTAGTATCTAGGAGTTGAAAGGAATGTGCACCACTCTGCCACAGCTTTAAATACCAGTGCTGAAGCGAGTTTACATAAATGTAGACTACTGCTTAGTGTAGCATTAGAGCTCATCACTGCCATCTTCCAAAACACATGTGATGGGTTGTAGATTGTAGGGTACCATTACAGACTTTGTAGGTATACAGCCCATGTCTCAGAAATGTGATTTGTCTTCATAGAAATTAAGTATGTACTTCATCAACCTTCTCAGAAAATGAGGGCACATGGCCTCCATTTTGTCACTGCCAGACTCTGAAGCTTTAATCACCAGTGATGCAAAGAACCATCTCTTTTCACCCAGTTTGCTGCACAAAAGCATAGAACTTCATGTTGGTACTTGCATCTGTTATGCAAAATCCCTTGGACCAAAACATTTGTATTTTGTAGGCTTTTATTCTGGAAGATAGAAGTCCTGTCTAGCTCGTCTGGGGAACTCTGTGTTGGCTCTAGCAGGTTAAAGCAACTGAAAACTGTATCAGTGTAGTCTGATGCTTGAAAGGAGTGGTCCTATGCTTTTCCTGCTGTCTGTGCAAGTAGCTGTTCTAGGAAACTTCTGCTGAAAACCACTTGAGAAGAGGGGCAAACCTCTAAAACCTCTACCTCGCTTCTGGCAGATGCCTCCACCTAGGTTTGTCTGTAGCAGCTGGGAAGCTTGCTGCTCCATTTTTAAGGAAACAAATAATTCTTATCTTTTCTACCCAGTTGGTGTGGCAAGTGCAAAATGTCTGAAGGAACTAAACCTTTGCTGTATCCTAGCAGTCCTTGGCATTTACAGCCTGTTCTGCTTTCAACTGTGAAGAAGCTGAAATGTGTTAATCAGCTGCCATCTAATATTTTGCCGTCCTATGAATTTCTCTGCCAAAGAACACACAAAAACATTACATACCAAGTGAGAAGCACCAAGTGGTTGCAGCTGTCTACGTGCTGCCATAGGCTTTTCATGATAAGAAGTTGCCCAAGAGATACTGCTGTAATTCAGTGCCTTTTTTCTAATAGAGGGATCCTTCTTGACTGAGCAACCACAGAATCATTTGAGAAGTTCAAGCTTAGGAAGATGTTGATGCCCACCTTCTGAAAATCAGGTCTGTGTTTGACCTGAGAGGGTCACAGTGCACATATCAGCATTTAAGAATGCTGATTCTACTGTGCCAGGAAATTGAAACCCTCACTGCAAATTGCAGGTAAACTGTGAAATGCGCAGCCAAAGCTTGCATGTGGAATTGCAGGTGATGGGTTAAATGGTTTTGAAACCAAGCTTCAGTCATTCCTTCACTTATGTTTCTTACTTACACAAAATTCACCACTTGTCTTTCTATCCTTTTCATACATCTTTCTTGCACTAGACTGATTCTTCTTAATTGTTGCCTTGTTAACTTTTTCCTTAAATGTCTGACTTCCATATCTCATGAGTTTTGTATAGAACAAGGTGTAACTAATTGTTTTGTTGCTACTTGAAATTTTCATTGCAGAATGTGTGCATGTACTTTCTTTCAGTGTAGGAGGTTATGAGCTACGTAGGAAGGAAGGATCAGCAAGTACCTTCCTGCATTTTTTTTTTTCCTTAAAACAAACATCTGTCACTATGGTAGGAAATCCTAAGAGTATCAGGGGTGTGACTTGTTTCTGTTTTGTTATCTTACTTAGTATAGCCCGTATGAGGATCTTGACAGTCTATTTCAACTGAACTTCTTGTTGTGTGAGCTCTTCAAATGCTAGGGAATGAAGGAGGTCATAGGCCAGGGTTGTGATGACAGTCTACCTGACTTGTGAAGACATGCCAGTGACAGGAAAAAATGATGAGAGGAAATGGAGTTGTATGATATTGTAGCTAAAGCTGTGAGAAGCAAAGTTGGTTTAGGCCTTGCCTCCATTAATTTAGGCACGTACCTTCTTACCACCTTAGTTAATAGGAAGGGGGGGAAAAATTTATAAGCCATCAGAACAGAAAGTTACATACTTATTTGATGTGCTAACTTAAGGCCAGATTTTCTTTGGTCTTCTGGTGCAAGCCGTGTATAACTAAGTGCTGCTGGAGATAAGGAGTTCAATTTCATACAGATTATAACAATTTAAATCACTGAAAAACAAAATGCTTCAAAGGTTTTAAATTCTGCCTAACAATCAGAATGCTCAAATGTGCCGAACATTGTGTTCCTTGAACCTCACTGCTGCTCCCTAAACAGATTCTGAAAGCATGCTCTTCTCAGCATCATCTCATTGATAAACTAGGCTTGACAAGTCTGTTGGAACTGAACTGTGGGCAGTGCTAATCTTAACTGCAGCACTCTGGCTTTTGCCAGTTTATGCTGAACACTTCCTAAATTGCTGGGGAAGTGGTGCTGCAGCTGAGATCCCAGTGACTGAAGTATTCCAGCAGGATGAAGCATCTTTGCAATGATAAGCTAAGATTATCTGAAGCTGATCTGAAGTAATTTACATGACAGGGCTGTCCTGCTCAGTCCAAAAGCCTGTCCTAGAGGCTTCTTGTTCTCCATAGTAACAGTAAAGCCTGGAAGTAGCCCTAGGTAAAACTGAAAGCTGTAGAAACAATGGATGCGGTACTTAGTTCTGCAAAACAAGTCCCTGAGCTCTGTTGTAAACTGAAGTTAGCTCCTAGATGCAGCCTGACCTAAATCAACCGCCTATAGTCGCTTTGCACGCTCTTGCAATCAGCGTTCCCTCTGGGTCCTTCCTGTGAATGTCTGTGTTTCATGTCTGAGATGTCTGTATCTTTACTTTCTTGTCTCCTCACCGGGCTTTCAAAAACTTGGTTTATTTCTATCCTGAAATTAACTTCATACTAACTTTCTCAAATATTTCTGTGGACACTTAAGGTAACTGTCTACAGACCTGCTGTCCACAGTGGTCACAATGGTTCACAGTGGTCCACAAATAATCATGAAGACTTCCTATTGCATAACACTTTCCTGGATGAAAGCAAAACTAGCATATTAATTGAATGCGAGGTACAGAACTGCAAACAATTGCTACATTCAAATGACACACTTTTATTTATGATAATGCCAATAGGTTAAATATGCAAATCCCTCTGAGAAGAGTAGGATTGCTGAAGGGTGGAAAAGTCTTTTAGTGCCTGCAACTGGGGGAAGACCACACAGAGCTCTGACTTTTTTTTGTTGTTACAACTATCTGAAGGGAAGGCAGCCACAGGAACTATGTGGGAGCTTGGTTCTCCCAGTCTCTCTTCAATCTAAAAGTACATCTAAAAGCTTCCAAGCCACAAGTAAGAAAATACACACCAAGAGGCAAAAACATCTTAATTATAGTCAGAAAAAAAATTATGACTGCCAAACATAATTTTATCTGTTCTACTGTTTCCTCTTGCTAGGAAGAAAATTGCTTTTTTTATTGTTGGTTTGTTTTTCTCCCTTCAGAATTAAGAGAATCTATTGGCAGTAAATAGCTTCTGTGGGGTACAGGTTGAGTCACTTGTTAAGAGGAGGAGGGCATGACTAAATCCAAGGGATTGGTATTGCAAACAGCTATGAAATTCATGCACTGAAGGAGATTCTTTGGCATTATTACTTCTACAAGTCTCTGGGCTTTTTTTGTTTTTGAGGATGACAGGGTGTCAGAGGAGGGAAGCCTCTTAAAACGTTACCAGCACTACTTAACTATAATTGCATTTGCAGGTAATCTGAAGAGGTCTCTGAAGAAATTCTCTACTAAATGCTGATTTAATTCCCTTGAACTAGATCAAATGAGATTAGGCTTAAAACCTTTTAGTCAGTTTTGTTTGTTTGTTTGTTTGTTTGTTTGTTTTTAAGCCTTGTTTTTTTTTTCTTCTCAAGGAAAAACTAATTTTCTGTCCAGCTCCTCTGACTGAGGATACTAGAGAGCAGGAAATGTGGTCCATGCTCACCTTGTCTCCTCACATCTGCTCCATAATAAAAGCTATTTGCACAGGGATTTCTGTGGGGATTTTATTGCTGTTGGGTATAGCAGTACCTGTCACAGGTCAGTCTCAAGTTAACCCCACTGTTCTGTGGTGTTGACTGTTGTCTCATTGTGTCCTTTTACCAGGGGACACAAGCAATTGTAGACTCCTGCTAAAATGTTATCAAAGTATACTCCATAAAAGCTGTACTTTGTGATTAGCATTATGATAAGTTTCCAGGAACTTGCCAAGTAAGTACAGGTACGTGGCCTTGTGCTGACTAATTGAGAAGTCAGACAGCTGCTATTAAGCTATTCTGATGGCACTAAGCAACCTGACCAGTCAGACTGTCAATTTTTTTTTTTTTCCCTCCTGTCTGTGCCTATGATGGCATTGCCCAAAGCTTTATGGTGCAACCATCATTCTTCCATTTCTGTGACATCTGCTGTATAGAAGTCAACAACCTGATGCACCTTTTGTAAACTTAACTGGGTGAGGCAGTGCTGCAGCATTTGTGTTAGCTGGCCAATTTCATGCAGTGTGCAGATTTGTGAAGAGGAGCTCAAACAAGCATGCAGGATAAAGAGGAAAACTAAAACTATCTTCAGATTTTTCTGATTTTCAGAAAGTAGTGTATATTTTTAGACCTGGTCCTCCCAAGGGTGCTGTCAAATGCTCGGATTTCTGTAGCTTCTTGTCTACATCCCCATGCTTCATCTGAAACAACAACAATCTTTGCAGTAATGTTCTATTACAAAGTTGCTGAGTTTATAACTCTGGGGTGCATTGTTTAAGATAATGTTTCCAAAAATACAATGGATTTAAAACAATACTATAAAAAGTGCTGACCGACTGATTGCTCAGCAGACTGCCCATACAGCTTTTCTGTTATGCTCTACAATCTGCAACCCTCAATGTACCAATCCATGGCTCCGTTTTTAGCCATCAGCTCTCTACCCTGTGTTGATTACTACAGCACAGAAGTGTACCAATTTCTGCTATTGTCATCTAGTTCCTTGCTTTCTCCTAAAGCTGTCTAGTTGCAAGACCTCAAGTAGGTAAAATAATCTTTCCAAGTGCTTGTGTTGCATTTAACTTATAATATAACAGCAGGAGCTCCCGTTCGTTGCTTTGGAGGCTGTCTGCCTGCAGTAAGTGCTTAATGAGTGGGGTACCGTTCCTTGGTGTGTGCATCTGGCTCTGCTGAGAGCTCACGTGGTGTTCTTACAGGGTGGGCAGGTAGCTGCTTCTTTGGGCTGTTGTGTAGAGAGATGAAGCTCTGGGTACAGGAACAGAATGTTGGGTTTTGCACGGCATGAAGGCTTTGGTGGCTTTGTTTTCGATTCCTCCCCAAAACCTGAGCTGGTGGCAGAGAGGAAGCCCTGCGGGAGCCCTGCCTGTGCTGCAAGTGCAGCTGCCAAGAGCCTAGCTGAGGGGCTTGCGGCTCCGGCTGGTGCAGCAGGCAATCCAAGACGGGTGCAGATAGCTTCTGTCAGCACGGTCGGCCAAAAATCACAGGTCCCAAGCTAACCGCTGGGCATCTGTCGGGGATCAGCGGGGCGTGCCTCTTCGTGGCTGTTTTTAGTCCTTTTGTGGAAATGAGAGGGCTGCTTACCCTCCAGGAGCCCGTCCCAGGGCTCAAGCTGGTTGCAAGGCACCCTGTGCCCTGCCCGGGGCCGGCGCTGCGCCTGGCACCTTCCTGCCCTGCCCTCAGGGCGGCCGCGCGGGGTCGGAGGTGCGGCCCTGCCCTTCTGGGAGGCCGCGAGGGGCGCGGCGGGACTGCGCTGAGGCTCTCACCGGAGGAAGGAAGGCAGCTCCGATCGGCTCCAGGAGCCCGGTCGAAAGGGAAGGTGTGAGGGAGAGGGGCTGCCTGGGGGACCCGCGGTGAGGGGGTGAGGGCTGCCTCGTGGCTCTGGCCGTTGGTGGCACGGCCACCCGCGCCTGGGAGCCGTTACTGGGTCTGGGCGGGCTTTGCGCTGTGAGAGGCTGCGGGAGACACCGAGAGCGTGGACGGTGTGCAGCTTGCCTTCCGGCTTGAAGGGTTTGAACGAAATGTTGTCATCTGTCGGTTAGCAGCAGAGGTTTTCCTGCCCCAGGCTCTCCTTCACTAATGTCCCCCAGGCTTCTGGCTAACTTCCCTCAGGTTCCTACTTTCCTCCCTGACAAAACACCAGATGAGGTAACAGCACCTCGCTAACACTTCTCTCCTTCCCCTTCTTAGGACTTGTCGTGAATGAAATCAGCACGTGAGAAGATCTAATTGGAACTGTAGAGTTCACTTGAAGATGCCACAAAGGGAAGAACTCATCTGTGAGTCTTGTCTTTCAGAGCTGTCTGCTCTCTTCCAGTACAAGAAGAGTGTTTTTGAGAAAGATGACTTGTGAAAACCATGCAGGAAGCTGAGTTTATGATACTGAGTGAAAGACATCATGACTTACAGCGGACACTTATCCTGAAGGACTGACACTGTGCTCTCAAAGTAAACTACAAGCACTCTTTATAAACAAAGCAAAGAAGACAAAAATAATTCTGATCCTGAACAGGAATAAGAATTACAAGAACTGCATCAGAATGTTTGTTAGTCCTAGAAGAGTCAGAAAATGCCAGTTCTTGCAGATATTTGCCACTTGCTTCATACTGTGTGTCATGATTTTTTGGGGACCATTTGATAATCGCTTTGTAAGCCATATGAAGTCCTATTCATACAGATACCTCATAAACAGCTACAATTTTGTGAATGAAAGCCTGTCCATCAGTAGGGATAACATGGACAGAGTAGCAAGCTACCAATACTTGATGAACCACAGAGAGAAATGTCAACAGCAGGATGTCCTTCTCTTGTTGTTTGTGAAGTCTTCTCCTGAAAACCGTCATCGGAGGGATGCAATTCGACAGACTTGGGGTAATGAGAAATATGTTCGTTCTAAACTTAATGCCAACATTAAAACCCTTTTTGCTTTGGGACAACCAATGGATCATTTGCAGCAGAGAGACCTTTATCTGGAAGACCAGAAATACAGCGATTTGATTCAGCAAGACTTTTTGGATACTTTTCACAACCTTACTACTAAATTACTTCTACAGTTCAGCTGGGTAAATGCCTACTGTCCTCATGCCAGGTTTATTATGTCTGCAGATGATGATATATTTATCCATATGCCAAATCTTGTTGCTTATCTCCAAAGTCTAGCACAAATGGGTGTTCAGGATCTCTGGATTGGCCGTGTTCATCGTGGATCTCCTCCCGTAAGAGATAAGACTAGCAAATACTATGTTCCATATGAAATGTACCAGTGGCCCTCTTATCCTGACTACACAGCAGGAGCTGCATATGTAATATCAAGTGATGTAGCAGCTAAAGTATATGAGGCTTCACTGACTCTCAATACCAGTCTTTATATAGATGATGTCTTCATGGGCCTCTGTGCCAACAAAATGGGAATTGTACCACAGTATCATGCCTTTTTTTCTGGGGAAGGAAAGGCTCCATATCATCCCTGCATTTACAACAGAATGATGACATCTCATGGACACGTGGATGACCTTCACTATCTCTGGAAGCAGGCTACTGATCCCAAAGTTAAAAAGCTTTCCTCGGGGCTCTGGAGTAGAATATACTGCAGAATAGTTAATATTATGCTTCTCTGTAAGCTGTATTATGAGAACACATATCCTTGTTCAGCTGCATTTTCCTAATACTTGAATATCTGTGTTGAAGATCCACTGAGCCAAAACAGAGCAACAACTTTTTTTTGCTGTTCATTCAGAATATACGTCAATGTGAATAGCTGGGGAGGGTTTGGGAGGGGTGGGATAGGAAATGAAGCAGGGTAGTGGGAGGATGGTGCCAAGTTCTGTTCAGAAACTGTTACTGGAATAGCTCTCGTATTGTACCACAACTTTCTACATTGTAGCCTGCTTTTATTACTTTTTT